TCTCTGAATTAGGTCCTGTGTGCATAGTAGTGACTACATCCAGAGAAAGGCAACAAATATAGCTAGGGGACTGGAGCACAGGTCTTATGAGGAACAGCTGAGTGAACTGGGATTGTTTAATCAGGAGAAGAGGAGAGTCAATGGAAACCTTATTGACTTCTATAACTGCCTGAAATTAGGTTGTGGCAAGGTGAGAGTCAGCCTCTTCTCCCTGGTAACTAGTGGTAGGATGAGAGGGAATGGCCACAAGTGGCGTGGGGGAGGTTCAAGTTGGATATTAGGAAAAGAAAATTGAGAAAGGACTGTCAGGCACTGGAATGGGCTGCTCAGAGAGGTGATGGTGGGGTCACTTCCCTGGAGGGGCTCAAGAAATGTTTGGATACTATACTAAGGGACATGGAAATGTTGGTGGTAGGTGTACAGTTGGACTGGATAATATTAGAGGTCATTTCCAACCTTAATGAATTTATGATTCTGTGACTACAAAGGATGTATGGCTGTCCTCTCTAGCAGAAAAGATGACCTTTCCTGAGCTTGGTGAAGGGACTCATGTTCCATTACTTTCTTTGATTGAGGATTATTGCATTAGCGATGGCATACATCATTTTGCTATTCCTATGGCATTTCTTTGCTCAGGTTGCTTAGATTAATAGCAGTTCAATCCAGGTCAACATCAAAATTCTTGCCTGAGCATCATTTATACTCTATTTTATTATTCTCAGTAAATACTCTTGGTAATCATATTTAATTCGTCATTTGCTTTTCATGAGTTTCTAAGCCTGACAGTTTGGGGGACAGAGTAAATAGAATCTGTATTTCTTAGTTATCATGCTTTAGCATTGTCCATACTTGTTACTGGTTCACTTCACTTTTGACAAATGGGGGAAATGAATAAATGAAATCTCAACTTATAAAAGCATTTGCATGGGTAAATTCAACTTTTAGGATTTTTGCATAGAGGCCCTCCCTTTGTAGCTCTCTTTATGGGTTAAGCAGCTCATACAAAACGGTACTTGAGTCTGTATAACACTCTGAATTGATTATTCTTGGGAAAAAAAAAAAAAAAAAAAGAAGATCCAAGAAAAATCTAATTTCCTGTATTTTCATATTGTATGGGAAAGAGAAGCATTGCAAATGTGTCTCTGTACAAAACTCCCTTACCGTATAAATGTATTTTTTGTGAGAGCATCAGAGGAAGTAATTCCTTGGAAAAAAAATAGGAAATGTGATACCATATCTCTTTCTTATCACTGAATGTTCTTATCAGATTTCTTAACAGTTATCTCTGAATACTAATAACTGTTTTCCAGGCAAATGCATAGAAAGGTGCTATATTTAAATTTTTAATAAGCATATGGCAATGTAAGAGTACCAAATAGGGCTAAGCACCCTGAATGGAAGACTAACACATAGCTTAAAAAGAAAATGCAAACCAGTAACCACAGACTTATAGAAACACCGGTGTTAGCCTTTGAATTACTGCTCACATTCCAACTGTGTTATTAAATACACACTATCAAGCCAGGCTTTCTCCAAAGCCACCAATGAAATGTTAGGGAGGGGAAGAAGACAGGGAGAGACCTTCTGCCCCAGTCTACTGTTGCTCAAATGACACACAGTAGCTGGATGGCTAGCATTGTTTTTTTGAGTGCTGAAGTACAGAATTCTCTTCTAACTGCTGAGCTTTAAATTAAAAAGAGAAAATTCTTCATGGTGAACTCTGCATCTGATAAGGGTGTCTGTGCTGCAGTCCTGTAGAGCAATACCTATTACCCTCTCTTTTTTCCCTGACCTTCATGTTCATCCATGTTTTGAGGCTCTGCAGGGAGTGAAGCAACTACTGGCATTGCTCTTTCCTTGCTCTGCAACAAATTCTCAGAAGACAGTCTGAGAGACCAGTGGAGAAGGGGTTAAAGTGCTCTCTGTTTTGTGCTTGGTTACTAACCTTTCAGCCAAGGGGGAATTGTTCTTCTTTCTCTGAAGTCCTTCAATCTCTTTGCATTACTTTTGGTGCTGTATAACATTTTAAAAGCTCCCTGACTGACAGACATGGCCGGAGGCAGAGCTCTGTTGGGAGAACCATAATGTACAGATCTTCCTCAGTAAAGAACTAAATTGAATACAATGTGATTTCGGGGTGTGTGAGGCAGTGCAGGCTTTCCCACCACTTTTTTATCTTGTTTATTTTGAGCTTCCACCCATGCCTGAGCAATTCAAGAGAATGATTTGAGTTCCTCTTTTTTTCTTTTTTCTTTTTTTCTTTTTTAATTTTTCCGTCTTGCACAGCTACTCTGATTTTGCCATAAATGCCAGGCAAGCACCCTGCAATCATGGAACTAGAGAACAATGGGAGTTTGAAGCTTTTTGAATTGAATTATGGATGAACACAATCTGAATGTGATTTTGTATGCTGTCGAATGCATTGAAGAGAGGACCACAAAAAGTAATACAAATTGTTTAGTATAAAGTTGTTAATGAAAATAAAAATACATTCTAAATATTAATATATTTTCCCCCTTCCCTAGTGTATTAAGTTTCTGTCTTAAAGATTAATTTGCTGAAATAAAATTCACTGAAAAAAACTTAAAATAATTTTGTTGTTAGAGAAGTATCAAGCAAATAGGAGCTCTTTCACTTTTGATACTTTTTGAAGGTAGAATTCAAAGATTCAAAAAATGCAGTCTTTCTAATCAGAACAGAAGTGTAGAATAGGAGCTGCAGTTATTTTTCTAGGGATTTTTTATTTGATTTTCTTCAAAACTCATTAGGTTTTTTTGGTCTTCCAATTATAAATCCTTTCTACTTAGGTACTTCAGTATGTAGGTAACAAACATTTCTGTGTTAGTTATTGCTATGCATAATAATAATATTATGCATAAGGAAAATATAACCTTTGACAGTGTTTGAAAATGGGAATATATATATGTATATGCTTAGATACTTTACCATGTCTTCTTTCTTGAGGTCCATATCATGTCATTGATTTTTAAGCAGAATTCTATTGATTTTGGAGAAACTTCTGCTTAAAAATCAATGACACAATATGTCTGAAGGCAAGTGGTGAATTCCATAGTGGTATAAATTGTATTTTTTTTCTTAAAATGTACCATGCATTCATCTTAAATCCTAGAAGTAGTATTTGTTGTAGCTGACAAACAGTAGGCCAGATAGCAGGCTGGTATTTCATTAATAGTATGCAGGTCTTAAAAGATAGGATTATTAATTCATTCTTAAGTCTTCAGCCCACACTGAAATTTAAAGTTTGTTAGCATGTGACTGTGGTTTATAGAAATGTTAGTTGTCAGAAAACAGCTAATGCAACATATAGCTTTCCAGTCATTCACCCTCAGTGAAAAAAAAAAAACCATGGCATGGAAATTATTTGTCAGATGTCCTGAATGTTAGGAAAATACAAAAGTTCTGATTTAACACCTTAATCAGGGCCAGCATAGACATGGTTAGCTTCATGAAAGCCATGCTCTATCAATGGAAACACCGATAGCTTGAAAGGGTGGAAAGAGTAAACACAAAAGAATTTGCATTGCCTTAATACTTACTGATGTTCATTTTACTGTAAATGCGGGTGTGCTACGGCTTACTGGCTAATTCTAAATTCTAGAATAGCTCCGTTTGTTTCAGCATGAACTCTGTGGATTCATAAGTCTTTGCACTTTATTTATAGTGGGCTGTGCCACAGCATTTTTAGATGGCATGAGTACTCATTTTCACAATTTTTTATTGCTGCTGAATTTGGTGCAAAGTTGCAAATGACAGCTAGAGGTTCATTTTATATATTCTACAATCCATAATATTTAAATATTTACATCCTTTAGTACTGTCATTTTATTAACTTCAGACAATGAATCTGAACATTTCATAAATACTAAAAGAAAGCACCCCTGTTAATTATACTGTGGCTAGAAAACACAGTATTTTTTATTATCTGTCTTTCTGTTAAAGTGGCCTGTGGTGATATAAGCAGAGCAATATGAGAGCAAAAACAATTCCTTCAAGTCATTCCAGGGCTTTTTTTTTTTTTTTTTCTTTTCTTTTCTTTTTTCCCCTTCTGTGCTGATGGCATTTGGCTACTACAAGAATCACCACAGTTTTAATTGTCACCTTGATGTGATGGTTCTCTCTAAGCCCTGTAGTTCGTTAGTGCTGATTCATTTTTAATCTGTGTACCTGGCATTTGTCAGTATAAATGAATGTCAATGTCTTATCTTACTGGCTTCTGTGCTGTTTCATTTTCTGCATTGACTGCAGTTCTATCATTTGCTCCCATAGATCAAGACCGTGTTTTTTTTAATGCATTTTGCAGTATTGCTGAAGAACAGCATAGCTACCATTTTTATACAAGGTTTATGAGAAGAGAACGTCTGTCACAGACAGCATATTGTGTGTTGACAGCTCTGTGGTGTTTAGCTCCATGGACAGTGTTTCTCACTTTTTCAGTTTTCACAAAGTTCATACAAATCTACCTTCCAGGGTCAATAGTTTAATATAAGCTTTGTCCATATCCATCCATAGTCACAGAAGGATGATATGTCCAAGGTGCCATTCTGGCAAAGACAAAAAAGCAAAGCACTCCTGCTCTTGAGAGAGGAAGAGTGGGTCCTCTCTTTCCCAGTGTTTTATGTCTGTATCCAGAGTAAATGCATCACTGGTGGGTGAAAGTTTGTGAGATAACAGAGTCATAAAGCAGAGGGTACGGGCCTGTCCTCAGCTAGACGCAAACATAATGGCAAGCAGGGCAAGAATGATCTATTCCTGTGCTAACTGCACCATATTCCAGAGCAGCTCGGTGCTACTACAATCAAAACAATAATTGCTTTTAAAACTGTGATTCCTAATCTTTCTCTCTAGAAACTAACTAGGTGTGAGAATTTTGATGAACACTTCAATGTAATTTTATGTAATTTGATGTTGCCATGTAAATCTCTTTTATAGGTCCCTTTAGATGGAATTTAATGCGGCAAAAACCTTGTCATCAGAAGGATTAATGCCTGCATTAGCATTTCCGCAATAAAATCAGAAGCTAAGTGGTGGAGGCCACAGACACCTCAAACCTGGATTACTCTGCTCTGCATTAAGTGCTGGAGTTTTTATTACTTGCTGTAGGGAAGCCGTTGCCAATGCTTACAAGGAACTGCTTATCCCTGCTTCTCTGGGTCCTGTTTGATGGAGGTCTCCTAACGCCACTGCATCCACAGCCACAACAGACTTTAGAAGCAGAGCCAAGAGAAAATGTTGTCCCAGTGCCAGGGAGGAGGTCATCTGCCCAGCGAGTCAAACGAGGCTGGGTGTGGAATCAATTTTTTGTGCTGGAGGAGTACATGGGCTCCGAACCTCAGTATGTGGGAAAGGTAATTTTTTACTCTTTCTTTAAAAGTTGAAATGACGCAGACAAAGAGTGCAATGTGCTGTAAATATGTACCTGTTTCTGATGGGGCAGATTTTCAGCTGACAGTAGCTGCCTCTATTCATCACCTTCAACGTTCAATCTCATACAGCTGCATTAGTCATGATTGCTATTTTTAGTGCACAGGTTTAAAACATTTACTTTCTTCCTTTTTGTGTTTGTCTTATTTCCTTGTCCTTGATTTTAGGATAAAACTAAAATTTGAGGGTTTGAGATAAGTTTGTGTTTCAAAAAACTTTTTTACTTTACATGATTTTTAACAGTGAATGTCAGACTGACATCAGGAAAAAGATTTAAACCTAGAAGTCTCCAGCCCAGGATGTACAGTCATTTCTGTGGTTGGTATTATTACTCTAAATTGGTTTTCAGTATCCCTTGCTTTTCTTTCTGATTGTTCACAAATTATTTCTAATGTGATTTATAGCTTCATAATTCAAAGTCTTGCATTATAGCTTTTATAGTCTGTGTGTAAGCACACAAGCATGCAGAGGATTTGTGCAGTTCTCTCTCATTACGTGACTACTGTTTCCATAATAGGACCTCAGTAGCTGGTTGTTTGAGGAGTGTCAGGGTGAATTTGGATAATAGAACTTTCAGAAAAAATGGGTTAAAATTAGACCTGAAAAGAATAGAAGCATGGTATGTAACTGCACGCTATGCATAATTTTCAGTTTATGTAAAGACTATCATTCAATGAAAATAAGAGGGCAAGGATTAATTTCCTGGGTCCCTAAATGCCACTTCCCTATACAACAAGGTTCAGATTCCGAAAACATGGGGTGTCACCTTTCAGTTTTAACTTTAATACTGCTTTCTTTCTTTCTTTCTTTCTTTCTTTCTTTCTTTCTTTCTTTCTTTCTTTCTTTCTTTCTTTCTTTCTTTCTTTCTTTCTTTCTTTCTTTCTTTCTTTCTTTCTTTCTTTCTTTCTTTCTTTCTTTCTTTCTCTCTCTCTCTCTCTCTCTCTCTCTCTTTCTCTCTCTCTTTCTCTCTTTCTCTCTTTCTCTCTTTCTCTCTTTCTCTCTTTCTCTCTTTCTCTCTCTCTTTCTCTCTTTCTCTCTTTCTCTCTTTCTTTCTCTCTTTCTTTTCTTTCTTTTCTTTCTCTCTTTCTCTCTTTCTCTCTTTCTTTCTCTCTTTCTTTCTTTCTCTTTCTTTCTTTCTTTCTTTCTTTCTTTCTTTCTTTCTTTCTTTCTTTCTTTCTTTCTTTCTCTTTCTCTCTTTCTCTCTTTCTCTCTTTCTCTCTTTCTTTCTTTTCTTTCTCTCTTTCTTTCTTTCTCTCTTTCTTTCTTTTTCTTTCTCTCTTTCTTTCTTTCTCTTTCTTTCTCTCTTTCTTTCTCTTTCTTTCTTTCTTTCTTTCTTTCTTTCTTTCTTTCTTTCTTTCTTTCTTTCTTTCTCTTTCTCTCTTTCTTTCTTTCTTTCTTTCTTTCTTTCTTTCTTTCTTTCTTTCTTTCTTTCTTTCTTTCTTTCTTTCTTTCTAATGTAGATGCTATGAATTATGACGGTTTGTTTGTTTGTTTTTAAATATAAATGAAATTCACAAAAAATTAATTTTCCCTTCTTCCCTTCCAGAAAGCTATTACAAATAATAAGTGTATAAATAGAGCAGTGTAAGGCTACATTTGGCTCATTAGGTGCTTGGAAAAACCAGACAAAAGTATTCTTGAATATTACAGATGTAGGCACTAGTGTTAAGCACTAGAATATATTAGCCAGAAATATTTGCAGTAAGACTGTATGTTTATATTGCAAACATATGATGAGTTTCATTTACAAGCTGAAAACAGTCTGATCCCATCATGAAAAATTGCATCTTTGTAACGTCCGGTTACTACCAATTGTCCTGTCTCTAACACCTGTTTTTTCCTTCTGGCCACCTACTAAAGAGGCAAACGAGGACTCTAATCACACTTGACACAGTAGCATGGGCAACATGATTGCTGTGCTTTTTACCACTGAAGACAGAGATGCTAACGCTGCATCACTGTAATTCATTAGTTTTTATCCTTTTATGTAAGATAGCCTGGGTAGTCATTTAGGGTCAGCCCTGAGCAGCCAAAATAATATTACTCTTGCATAAAATTGACTATTATCAATACATTTGAATTTAAGCTTGTAAGCAGCTTTAAAATTAATGGGATATTTCCATTAAAAATAATGCTTATCACATCACAGATTTACTTGGTATGTTTATAGCTCACAAGACTTTTTAAAAACTGTTTCAACTTACTGAAAGTGTTTTCAAACACAGTGTTAAGTCAAATTTCAAGTAGCACAAATGATAGCTATGTTTCTTGAAAGGTTATCATATGCCAGAAGGAAATGTTCCACTATTAAATACAAAAGAAAATAAATTATAGGAGGACCTTAGTGGTGAAACAACAACAAAAAGTGTGCTGCATTAGTCCATCAATAAGCTAGTCAGAAAATCTACTTTTATTCAAAATATTCCAGATTATCATCTTTTGAAACAATGTTTATTATCTGTCAAGCATCCATTTGATGTTTAATCTAGCATATTTTATGTATATTAAATATTTGCTTCAGTCTATTTGAAAAGGAATTTGCCACTTATTTGATGTCTTCTTTATTTGATTTCTTATGAAACAAACAGAAGGAAAAGAAGGTAATGGAAATGTTACCATTTTCCTCTAGTCCCCTCTAGTCTTCCCTTCCCCTGCTCCCCTCTTGCCATCCCCTTCCCCCCCCCCTTTTTTTTTTTCCAGGAATTTCTCAAAGGAGCAAAGAACTGAATGAGAGAACTTCTGTGGAAAAAATTGTTCTTTCAAGGCCAGATAGTGAAAGACATGCATAATATAAATTCACACAGTTCTCAGTGTGTCAAAATACACTCAACAGTGGTTAATCAGTATCTTGCTATCATCTGCATTATTTTTTTTAAAAATCATAGAAAAAATTAAGATATGAAATGGTATTGAGTTCTTAGGAGCAGAAATAACTGTTTGATGTTTATTGTAATTTAACGTTACTCCACAACCATACATTTTCAAGGTAATTCTCTTTTTAATATTACTGTGTTGTATTTTAAAGAGATATTGAAAGTATTAGAGTTCAGGATAATTTCAGGAATTATTTTTATCTTCATCTTCCAGCCATGATAGCTGGGCACAATAGAGTTACAGCTGCATAGGAGCTCATATTGCTTATTCTGGAACCGCTGCACTAGTAATGTCAGAGTAATTTATAAATAGGAGTTTAATGTGTCTATTAAATCAGTGACAATTTCACTAAACAGTTAGGGGTGACTAGTTAATTTTGGAAGCCACCTGGAAGAGCACACAGATTTACAGCATTAATGTCATCTGTTATCGGCCAACACACTCAATTCATTTTATGTCTGTTTTTAGAAGGCTATTTCAGGAAGTGTCAGGTTACAAATCAAAATATAGTTTAGAAACTGATGCAGTCTAGCTCAGTTAGAGATCCTGAGATAATGCTTCATGTTGACACATGATAAGCTGACATTAACAAATAAATAAATAAAAATTAATATACTTTGCTATTTAACCTGAATGTCAAAGCAAGGGTCTGGAAATCCTCTGCTTTGGTGGTACAGAGTGCCATGAACATCCAACAAGTTGCCAAACAAAAGGGAAACACCCTTGCTGGAGATCCATCTAGCATACCTTAAAAAGGGAAATTGGAATACAGTGTTGGTATGTGACTTGTGCAAGTTGGAGGAATGCTATAACACTTACTGTGACATGTACCCTTGTTTACATATTTTGCTGTGATTTGACTTCTTAGTACTGTGAAGCTCCAGAAGGCCATGCGAAATAGCACGTTTAATAAAATTGAAAAAATATTCATGATTATTTTCTTGTGCCATAGCTTAGTCCTCACTGAAAGGTGGTAGAAATCATCAGAAGATCTGATTTTCAAGTACAGCCTTGTCTTAGCGCAGTTGAAAATGACTAACAAGATAGCAGTTGGAATTGACCTTATAAAAGGGTTACTTACAGAGGTTTAGCTTTGCTGAAACATTACAAACCAAACTATTCTTCATTGCTGAACCTCTTCTTCATTGCTCTGTTTCAACAGTGATATGCAGGGGCAGCATAATAAAATGAAGGCTAGAGAACAAAGTGGATGAGAGAAGTATAGGTTCTTCATTAACAAAGTAATACCTGCAAAGTATAAATTTTTAGTTTCTAAACATGTAAAGTGCTTCATATTTAAAGGAGTTAAACATGTAGCATTATTCCATTTACATGTCTTTGTATTTATGTTTTTTTGTTTGTTTGTTTTTTGTTTTTTGTTTTTCTTTTTTCATTGTGCAGCAACAAAATATTCTCAGGATGCCAATTCATAATCTTTCTAATGAAATATTTATATTTTGCATAATTTTGTTCTTTTAAATCTCCGTTACATTATACCTGCTTGCAAAGCGCTTCACATTTTTTATTGCTGTGATCCCCACCACCTAAAAAATGTTATAGTCACAACTACTCTGGTGCTATACAGAGGGCACAAAAGGATGTGACACTGCATAGATAAAAAATATTAACTCAATACTGAGAATTCTTCATTTTCTTCAGAGTTTTCCTCATATATTAAGGCAGAAGCTGTGATGACTGGATGGAAAGAGAGCTTTATATTTGTGACCAGAAGAGAGTGCTTTTCTGATGCATAATAATTTATCCTCTACATCTGAAGTATGAACAAAGAACACATTTATGCATTTTATAGTGGGTAGTTTTTATTATATTAAAATTAATGTAGACCACCTTCCGTCAGACTTAACTCAGCACCTCTTTCTGAACTCAGATGTTGCTATTCTTTTCCATTACATTAGTGAGTGTCTGGGTGACAGGGCACTCTGTGAAGAAAATTTTGAATTTGAATTTTTCAAAGAAATCTATACTACTATGGCTTTTTTTTTTCTTTTTTTTTTTTTGTGTGTGTGTGTGTGTGTGTGTGTGTGTTCTT